CTTTAAGCAGCTGTACTTGGCCCACCTGGTAGGATGTGCATAAAGACAGCAGGCAGCTTGTGGATGAAGAGCAGGGGCACACTGCTGGCAATGCCCAGGAGCAGGAAGTATACCACCGATGCCACGCAGGACATGGTCAACGCAGCCCGCGCTCCAAACAGATCGGCAAACCTGCGAACAGCCTCACGTTAATTATCAGCAAAAACCACCGGAGCCTGCCAGCATTTCTTCGAATCTTCTTTTAAGGGGGGCTGATCACAGCAGGCCCCACCAGACACAGATCATACGTGTAAAGGGACATACAGTATGTATTAAAACTGTACACTCTATTCTAAGTGTTCTCTGGCCAGTGAATTGTATAAACACATCATCATTTGTGTTACATTTTATGCTTTTCACTATTTTTTGTTGTTTCCCTGCTTTGTCCAGATAAGGACATTGGCGAGTCTACACAAACACTTTCAGAAACAACTTTTTCATAACATGTTTCTATAAGATCAATGCCTCCTATCTTGTCTGTTTTTCATACTTGCATGCAATACTCTGCACTTGACTACACATGGTGATTTATTAACATACTGACAACCTTTACACACAGGATGTTAAAGAAGGTATTGACAGAGCACCATCAACTCTCCATGTAGGCATTTCAGAGTCCACACTTAAACTGCAGAGAGCACACACACTCGATCAGAGACTGTGATTCACACAACCACTATCAATTTACAGTACCTGTATGTGTTAAACTGGCCCATTCCTGAACAATCAAAGAATAAATATAAAAGTCAATACTGCTAAGTTCTTTAGAACTAACCTTTAAATCAGAATCAGACATGGGCCAAAGAGAGGATCACAATCTTCTTATCACACGTGTGTGGTACAATTGCTAAATTATTTTCCCAATGGAACAGATACAGCACAACTGTTCAAAGTCTGCCATTGTGCCATACCTGCCAAACACAGGTCCTCCCAAAAGCTGAATGACTCCCACTGTGGTCTGCAGATACCCAAACCAGATTGTGTCGAAACCCAGCCTTTTGGCCAAGTACTGCAGAAATAAAAGAGAGCACACAGACAGAGAGAGGAGATATTACGCAGATTTAACAACTAAAAGTCTTTTTTTTCAGACTTCTACAAAGCACTGGTAAGACCTCATCATGAATACTGTCTTCAGCTTTGGTCACCATACTACACAAAATATTTTATAGCTTTAAAAAGTGTTCAAAGTAGAGCAAAACATATTCCTGGATTCAGAGGACTGTTGTATACATACAGGTACTGTACATAACACCTTTATACCTGTATATCTCTTAAATACAGTATAGAACAGCAGAGATTTCATCCAGGTATACTTAATCCTAAGGGGTATAAATTGGGTATATTTTATGGCTATAAGAGTATATATGAACAAATAATGGTTGTTCTCTATACTTACAGGTGTAATAGAAAACTGGACGAACATCCAGGTTATCTCCAGTGCAGCAATTATGTACGTGATGAAGATAACAGTTTGTGTTTTTGAAGCTACATGCTTCTCCAGCTTTTGGTTAGACATTTTTATTGGAAACCAGCTTCCTATCCCTGTTTTCCTGTTTCACTGAAGACAGGCATGAGGCTAGAGGTGGGAAACATGCAAAAAAAAATGGGACATAAAAATTTAAGAATGTCAGAAAGGCTACAAATGATCAATTTGACACAGTGAGATGGTTTTGTAGCTAGCAGGTAAATAATCTGTGGATTACAACCAGCCATTAGCCTAGATATAATTTTTGACATTATGGCTGGGTAACTTATCTCAGATTCTCACAACCCCTTTGTGTAAAAACTGATTTTCTCCTGGTCTCATTTTTAAAATGTACTTCCCCATAGATTATATAAAATGACAAAATCAGACTGTTTAGATTGAGTCTACATAAAAATGCTTAAAGAAACTGTGTGAAGAAGGTTATGTTAATAACTATGTACTGTACAGTATATTAAAAACAATCTAAAAATGGTCTCTTTAAATGCTTATGAACATTAACTAACCTTGGTGCTCTTGTTCCGGGATGATATGGCTTTTCTGTTGTAGTTAACTATTCTTTTATTATCTTACTATTTCACCGTCTCATCTGCAGTTGCCAATACCACAATAGTCCCTGGATCACACATTAATCAAACCGGCGGGAGTTTGCTCTTAAATGGGATTAGACCTGTTCTTTCAGTCGTCATTGTCATCATGTCGTGACGGGTTTTCGTGTCTAGAAGCAATGATTTCCTCACCACCTAATCCGCATCTACAGTTCATTAATATGTGACTGTAAATTAATGTCTGTAATGAATCATACTCTACGTCTGGGTTTTAACGATAAATGATGCTGCAACGGCGACACTGAAAACACTGGAAATCATTGGCAGAAAATTACCAGGTCCCACTTATTTGTGTGATAATAAAATATCCCTCATGTCGAGAGTAAATATTAAATATTGTAAATATTGCGGTAGCACATTTGCGGTACTTCCCATCCCCTGTTAGACTACGACAGATTACAACACAGTTACTAATATGGACTGAAGAATTTAGCAATCACCACTGTTAAATCAGAGGTCTATTTTGTGTCCGCCTGAGTGTTTTTCTGAGCCAGGCACTGCTGACCAAAAACTACTGAACTACATTTACACGAGCCTTTAAATTGAATCCAGTACTACACATTTTGACATACTGTATTGTACAGCCTAATTTGAATTTATTTGTGCGCAACACTGCACCCACAAAAGATTAGAACGCATAGAAGTATTGTACATTAGCAACGAGTTTCCAGATGTCAAAACTATACAACACTCCTTTTTTACAATTCGTTGACTGAATATGAATTAGTGGAGACAAATGTAAAGTCCTTGCGTTTTTAAAATTCGAAATCCTTAAAGGTAAGAATGTGTTACTTCACGTAACAGTAAATGTACTGCACCTATCGACGTTCACATGTTTCATTTTCTCTTTGAATGTTCAAAGCAAAATGCTTCCGCTCCTTAAGCCAAACTGATTCAGTTTATTACACGCAAAATAAATGTTTTCTTGGTTTCTTTATATTAATAGATTGGTGTTCTTGAATATTAGACGCAGTATATAAAGATAAAAATTCAAACAACTCACCCGACAGGACTTCCTACTCGATTCTGGCGTAGATTTCCTTTCTTACGCTAGGTGGATTGTTATATAACCTACAGTAAAACTCGTGAAAGGTTTTAGCTGTTGCTGTCATTTTCAGGCAGCTTTAAAAGAAGCAAACATTTTAAGAGATATCAATCTGTACTGTAATGTCCAGTGTCTGCCTTAATTGCCCTTGGCTATCTCCTTTTATTATTATTTTATTGCACGTTTCACTGGACAGTGGGAGAACATAGCCAAGTAAGGTCGTGGTTTTCGGTACACTCCGATCTTTTCTGATTATGGTGTTCTCCATCAAGACATTTGGTACCACTGTTGGTTTTGGTTATTCCGCTTAAAATCAACGCACCGAAGGGTGTTCTGTCTGGATCAAGGAGTTATTGTACAAACGCAGAAAGAGGTCGGAATGCAGTCATTCTTCAGAAGATGGGGTGTCAAGAGAAAATAGATACCTAGATTGTCTCTGCCTTGTTCCTTCCTTAAACAGTAAAGGAATCCTTCGGGATAATTGGGTGAACTAAACCTTTTTAGTTGTTTTTTTTTTAGTTGCTAGCTCCTCTATCCGTTTCCGAGGAAAATAAATATTAGTAGTTCCATACAACTTCCTGTGCAGATTCAATCGAGGTAACCAAGTCCTAATGTCCTAATCCTGGATAATATTGGTGCTATGAAACTTTAAACAGTTCGAAAAAGTACTTTCAACATTCATCCTCTGTTGTGCTGAGATAATTAAAAACCATATGGAATACTTGTTTTATCCGTGGTAGGGTATTGCTTTGTGAATAGATGTATAAAATATTTAGTATTTGTCATTCATTCCTAATTAGCTATGAATACTCCATGACTATGTTTACATAATTCACCTTGATTGATCGTTGATTTATGTTAAGACTGAAAAAAATGGTCTTTGTATCAATCCCAGCCCCCATAGCATTTTTGTAGGACATATATACTCTAAGTGGCTATGTACAGTATTCACTGATGTCCACATATTTTAGATATATTTACTTTGACTTAAATATGTTTAACGGAAACAGACAGAATATTACGAACCCTCACTAAAATAAACTGTCTGGCTCCCTGGCAGAAATTGTGTGGCTGAACACCCCTTTCTCTAGCCAGAACAAAACCCAGATCTCAGTCCTATTGAAAACACTGGTAAGAATCAGGTCATGCAGCTTGATACCACTCTCTGTTACCTTCATGACTTCACGTGGCTTTCCTGCTCAGAGAGTGGGGTGGAACTAGTTGAAGGATTTGAAAACCTTGTGGAATACAGTACATGCTGAACCTTGATCAAAGAGTTCGTATTGCTTTCTCATTTGTGGCCTGTATATATGTATATGTATGTTATACTGTATGTACACTGGATTATATCAACACTGGTATAGTATGTTGTACATTTCTCATACGGCGTAAGTGCTGATGGGCTCATCATCATCTTTTTCTTTCCCACTCGATCCAGAACGATCCAGAGTTCTTGAAGTTCAATGTTGGGTGTTTGATAATAATAATAATAATAAAGTAATAATAATCATATTCCTTACACCTGTATAGCACTTTTCTGGATACTGCACTCAAAGCGCTTTACAGGTAATGGGGACTCCCCTCCACCACCACCAGTGTGTAGCCCCACCTGGATGATGCATTTTCAGTCTCTCCAGGAAGTAGTGCTGAAGGTTAAGTGCCAGCAATCTGAAAACACACCACTACACACGATATTCATTACAAATACATTTACATTTTACATTTATTAATTCGGCAGATGCTTTTATCCAAAGTGACTTACAATGTGTCCAGTCAAGATGCAAAGGATGCAGATAACAGTAGCATATATGAATATACAGAATATGTAGATAAAACATACATTTTCCATTTACTTAGATGGCAGTACGTTTGTTATCCAAAACAAGTTAAAAAACTTAATTTTTTATAAACCAAACGGCCTCTTCGTTTAAATCCAAAAGTACCAAAACTATTTGTTTTCATTTTGCTCTTCGTTTTGTGCACTTTTTTGTGTAGAAGTATGTGTACAGGATAGTAAATGAAATAGGATGAGAGTCAGTATGAAATCGCTCTTGATTAAAGATGTGTCTCTTGCTTTGGCCATATCGTCTTCAAAAAACACACACACCTAGGATTGCTTCATTGCATAATTGTTCTTACATTTTTTCCACTGTAGAAGGAAATGGTTCGGAATATAAAACTGTTATGAGGCATAACTGTAAAGTGCACTGTTTTCATAATGTGGTGCTTTTTTGAAATGGTTATAAGCTTGGCAGGGCAAAACCACATGATGGTGAAACAGTATTTAAAATTCCATGTGCTGCAGTCTGGTCGCTGGCTCACACCAGCATTCAAGTGATTGTGAAGACTGTGCTGATGACCTCTTGTTTGCATTAGCAAAAGCTGACTGAGTCACTCTGAACATATCAAGGACACAGCCTTAATTTGCAATCAGGAAAAATGCAAAAATTCACATATTAAAATGGAAATGCTAATGGGAACAAATGTCAACAAAAACTAAAGCACAAACATGAGTGGCAGAAAAAAGTGAAACCCAGTCTGAGTCAGTCTGCAAATGATTTAATTAGCACTATACAGTGACTGAGCACAAGATTCTGATTTATGTTTTTAAATTTTACAAGGACCATAAATTCAACCTTGTGGGAAAAGGGTATTTAAAGCTGATATAGCATCCCTCCCTAAAGAATAAAACTTTCAGATTTTGGAGTTGCTAAGTCTTGCTGTGCATGTATCAGCTTCCCTTAATGCAGAAGCACCAATGAGGTGAAATAAGAAGAATCAGCCACAGTCTCCCATCAGCTTCCATTTGTTTTACCCATTTTTCTCTCAATTTAACCTGCCATGACCCATTAAGAGTGCATTTCATTGCAGCTAAAGTCAGGGGGGCTGAGTAGGCCTGTCCTTTTCTTGCTCCATGAACCCCTGTCATGTGAACGCCTCAAATATTGTGAAGCTCAACACAGGCTGTTCTGGGTCAGCCAGATCATGGGCTAAACAACCCTCCTTAAGGGGGTTTAATCAATAAGTTCCCAAGTCCCTGCTTAAGATTGCTAAATGCAGGGAAGCTGCTTCAGACACATAACCCTGACCAGACTACTCTAGATCTCGCATCTTGTGGTGTCTCAGTCATAAGATTGCTCACAATGGCTACACAGTACTGAAGAAGGACAGGACATGAAACAACAGCATCTAATCCAATCCCTGAATTGTAGGAACTACAAGCTCTGTGTGGGAAGCAACTGATGCCAACGTGTTACTAAGTATTTTCCACATACAGTATCAACTTAAAACTTGTAAACATGTACTCTTCTTAAGGATTATAAATACTGTTTTGGTAAGTCATCATTACTGAAAGATGAGACCTACTTTATATGTACAAGTTAATATAAAACACAGAATTGCACAATGGAAGTATGTTTTGCTTCTTTTTTTGGCTTTAGCATTAAGGCCCAAAGTTTGAAGTGGAAAAGGGGGACAGAACTGTGAGTGTTTCCTACAAGAGGCCCCAAAATCAGTATTGCAATGGAGAATAAAAAAGTGCACATCCACTATTACTGTGAAGGAGCTCTAAAATGCCCTGCCACACATCTAGAAAATAATGTGTTTTTCATTTTTAATTATTCTTTGTTGTTTTTTTTCCAAAAGTGCTTGGTGCCTCATCGGACAGCTCCTACTGGCATTCCAAATCTGACTGGTGGCGGTTCTTTTATTGCTGTGCAGAAGTGTCTGTCATTTGAAGACAAAGTTGATGAAGAGCTGAAACAGCAGCAGGATACACAGAATGAGACAGTGCTGGCTGTTCGCTTTAACGCTCTCCCGAGAATGTCCTCGCCGGAACATTTGTTGACTCAGGCCGCACAAGTTCCTGAAGGGGGTGGGAGTTATAGAAACGACAGAAGACCAATTAGTTATCAGACCGGTGAGACACGAAGGAACAGAAAGTTGGTGGAGAACCTCACAAAGTATATTTACCTTTGTATATCCTGTTGGGTCTTCTGTATCGATGCTATGGAAGCCTCAATTTCAGCAATATCCTTGACTTCTTTGTTACATCTGGAGCATTGGGTCATGAATGCTAAGAATGACATGGCATGTATTTAGATAGCAGGTAAGGTAATACACTTAATATACTGTATGTATAGTTCTACCTGTGCCAGCTACTGTATGTCCATTGCACTATATACCTTAGTTATATGTTTGCAATATATACCTTAGTTATGTGAAAATACAAATGATATGATGATAAACTTTAAAGAACTTCATCTACTGAATTGTAAAAAAAACAACAACTGGTAACATATGATGAGTTTCCTAGCATGGTCTTCTTGGTTGCAATTATATTTTGCTGTTGAGCTCTAGTGGCTCCTGACAAGCAGCGAAGGAAAAGGCCGAACCTTCGTTGTCGGAGGACTCATGGTGGGGCTCCGGTGTAGTGCTGCTGCTCTCCGTGTTCTGACTGCAGCTGGACGGCTGGCTGCTGGTCTTCCTGCGCTGGCTCTCTTTCTGGGCCTGAAACACAGCGAGCCCTCCCGTCAGCCTGTCTGTCCCACAGCATGTCCCCCCGTCACCCTCTGTCCTACAGCACGTCCCCCCGTCACCCTCTGTCCTACAGCTCTCCCTCCCGTCAGCCTGTCTGTCCCACAGCACGTCCCCCCGTCACCCTCTGTCCTACAGCTCTCCCTCCCGTCACCCTCTGTCCTACAACACGCCCTGCACAAATGATCCATTCTGCTCACTGTACGGTTGCAGCAATAACTGGTATTCTGTGACTTCTTGACCTCGAAAAATTATTAAGGTTCCTTTGCCTCTCTTTAGACCTCTTCGCTCTTTCATACGCACCAAACAGGGCCACATACTGTCTATTCATGCTCACAGCCTTCTGGCCATCATCTGTGAGGAAAACAATCATTGCTCTCTGCTAAAGCATTCTGTACCCACCATTGTGAGTGGGAAATAAACATGCTATGATAATGAAGTTGGCAGATTTCCTTGATTGTGAAGTTGCCTAACAACCATCATAAAAGGCATGCAATTTAATAGACGCCAAAACAGAAAAAAATTGACTTATTAGATTTTGTATTAGCTGGCAGTGTAGGGCATTTTTATAGCTACAGTAGATGCTGGCTGTGTACCTTTTGCTTTGCTGCTCGGTTCTGAATGTATGTCAGGCCATTTGGCCTCTGAGGCCGCCTCTCCTTGGTCTGGATCACCCCATTCTTCTCAAACTGGACCAGGCTGGTCTCAGGATCCCAGGGCCTGATACTGGGGAGGCAGGAAAAAAGTCAGACATCAGCCTAACAACTGAGATAACACAGTCAACTGAGCTGAAATTCTGTCATCTCTCACTGAGCCCTAGTTACATGTCCCCCATTTGCAACATATTATTTGCCTAATTACAGAATTCCTCATTTTGACCCAGGAGTGACAAGGGAATGACGTGAAGGTCCCATTGTGTGGCACCAGCTAAACATATGACACATTACAATGGACATGGCTTCTGTTCTGTGGATCCTCCAGGGTGGAATCAGTCCCAGGGCTGTGGTGTGTTTAAGACGTCATGCAGAATCAAGGCTGAAGCCAGAAAAGAAAAGCTTGCATAACAGCTGTGTCATAAAGAGTCACGTCACAGAGCATTTCACTGGCTTCACACTGAGTCGCTGGGCACTGAATATGAATATGTCCAGTGCTGGATCCTCACACCAAAGCAAACGCCAGACGTACTCGGCATATTTGTAGCGCCACTCGTTTAAGAGGGGGTCGAGCTGGAAGAGCTGTGGAAGCCACTCCTTGTCTTCTCTCTCCTTGGCCGCCTGCCGCTGGGCCTCCTCCAGGACAAACTTCTCCTGAGTGGCTTTGTGCTGGTCGTGGCTCTTTATCGCACTCGTCACATGTTGCCACAACCTGAAGCACAAAAGCACACGGGGCCACGATGCAGAGGATAACCTCAAGGAATCTGTGAGACAGCACTGAGAACAGGAGAGCTTTTCAGGGGGCTGGTGGAAGCAGTTATCACTGAGTCCCATGTACTGTATGTTGTATATTAGATCGTTCAGTGATTTTAATCCAAAACCGAGTCAGATTAAAAGGTGAATGGGTAAACTCTTTTAATTGTGTCATTTAACGTGCAACTAGAAGTATAACTGGAGTCAACATTTAATGGTTCTTGTAACCCACACCCTACCCTGGCCTGAAATGCTTATTTATTTCAATACCATCTTTACAGCATTTTTCAAACGATTAAATTTTTGCCTAAAGAAGACTTTAGACTTTAAATTATTCCGAGATAATAATTTTTCAATGGTTTTGATTGTTTTAGACTCATTTTTTGGTTTGAGTAACATTTTCCAATCTGATAACTGGAGGGCTGGAACAGACTTGTCACGGACGTCCAAAGGGACTAACCGTGGGGAGCAGGAGACCGGAAAAAGACCCATATGCGTAGCGGCGAGACGGGAAAAAGGCCCAGGCTCATTAGTGCAAAGAGTTCAGGAATGCCGTACAGAAACCTATGCCCTCAGGGAGCGGGCGTGGGGCGCCCTGGTGCTAGGCGGGTCTCAGGACATCCGAACATCAATGCTGAGCCAGGACAGAGTGCAAGACCCGGAAATATATATCCCAAGGGAAAGAGAGGGACAGGAAGGACAGCTGACCGGAAACTAGGGACAGGACAGAGAAGGAGCGCCCTCTGGCTGCAGAGGGCGTGACAAGACTGCTCTGTTGAAGCCCCAGCTAGGGTTAGGGTTAGAATTCCCACACTACGTAGACATTTTTTATGCTCAGTGGTGGATTTTGGGTCCTAAGGGAATTTTAGGATGAGTGTTAATTAAGTTCCTTTCTGCAATGTTTTTCAGTCATTTGGGTGCCTACAGTACACTGTTTTATAGCTAACACATTCTTGTACCTGAAGGTTTAATACTGGATTAACACAAAGACCAATAACACGAGAGGCTCTTAAAGCAGGAAACATGACTTTTCATCTTGTGAAAGCTTGAAAACTTATCGACAAGGTCTCAGTAACTACAATAAAACGTTCACCTGACAAGCAAGGGGATAGTTCACAGTTCATTCAATAAAACACCATGTAGAACTAATAAGTATGAATTAAAAATAGTGCCAAATAACTGCACCTGAATACCTTTAGGTAAATTAAAGGATACTGGGAAACTACCTTTAGTGGGCCAAAGTATTCCTCATTTAAACTGAGGTTTGCAGGGCTAATGTATTATATTGTTATTTATACAAGAAAAACCCCAGCACTGCTTTCAAAAGGCGTGTGCTTGCTAAGTGGGCCGACCATACCTCTCGGACTCAAACTCTCCCTGCTGGTCCAGCTGGACCACCTGTCTCTTGAGGCGCTGCCTGCGCACCTCGGGGCTGGGGTTCCAGAACACCTCGTGGTGGCCTGTCTTCTTCTCGTGCAGGAACACCTCCCCGTCCTAAAGTGGGCCCGGGAGGAAGAGAATCAAAACACCCCACGTACATGTGTGAGCTCACCGCAAGCACGCAAGCACATCCACACCTTAAACTCATCCATCTGTGCAGAATGTCTTGGTACTGGAACATGCATGCAAATCAGGATTTCATCGGACTCGTGCATATGACAAATAAACAGAACAGAACGATCCATTTTCTAACCATTTCATCTAATTCAGGGTCGAGGGGAAGCTGGAGCCTAGAGCCTATCCTGGCCAGCAATGGGTGCAAGGCTGGGCACACCCTGGATGGGATGCCAGTCCATCATAGGGTAGACCCAGACTCGAAAACACCAGGGCCATAGTTTCTCCCTTCCAGTACAGTATGTCTTTGGACTGAGGGAAGGAACCAGAGCACATGGAGGACAGAAAACCAGGGGAACGTGGGGAAAACATACAGCATCAATTCAAAGCAGATGCTGTAGGTCCCCAGGTCCACAGATGAATTGGGTGCCGCCATGCTTGTTAGGTGAGTTAAATCACATGAATGCGCAAAACAGGTTCATAAACCAGGTGTTTTAAGAGTCAGCCTTGATGGTCCTGATTACGCACATGAGAGAAAATGGCAGCAGTAATTAAGCCTTTTCTGTTTTGCTCCTTTCCTCCTCTTTTAATGTGGACCATGGAGACACTGTTGTTTCACCCGCAGTGCACACGAGTAAAGGGTGCACGGTCACTTACTGGAGCAAAAAATAATGTCAAGCTAAACACTTGTGAACCTGGTGCTCAAGAAATGTGAGGGTGAACAGCATTAGCCAAAACCTGATGCCCAGATCCGTGTCCACTTATAGGTGTGCAACCTCCCATGATCTGCCATTTTGTTTTGACGTGAGCAGTTTTCATCTTTGCTTTGTCGTACCCAGTGTCCATCGATAGTGGCCAGCACATCTTCACCTACACGAATCTTTCCTGAAATCTGGTTCACACTGCTGGAACTGCCGAGGAAAGGCTAGGAGAAAGCACAGTGCTCATGGTTTGACTTTTTTTTCTTAACAAAAATTTTTATTCAAAAGCATGGCATTGAAAATAGCCATGCTAAAGATACAATCTTTCTGAGGTACAAAATCCAAAATCTCATGCACAAATGCTTGCACAGTATTTAACTGTGGTGCAAGCAATTATCTAATGATTAACAGCATTAATTGCCACATTCATCATAAAAAAGGACTGGTTTGATGTTGTTTTAGGATTAATTTTGTTTTGACTAAAAGTATGGATGAGGTAGAGAAATTAGGTACAGTAGTTCAGTTACTGCTCTCTGCTGCTATGTGATAATAATGCTATACTGTACCTCATAATAGGAGACCTGACAAAGCACCAGTTCCTTACAGTTACTACAGAACAGCCAACAGTTTGCGAATTGTGAATAAAATCTGTACCTTTAGTTTAAATTCCAGTTCCGCTATATACTTGGTTTTCTCACAATCAATAGTTATTTTTCCTCCTAGTTCCATTGTCATTGTGCCGTATAAAATACCTGAAAATAGAAAATAAATAAAAAGCAGAGAATGATGAGACGACTGTTTTTGAATGTACTGATTCCGGAATATGATTACTGCTCCTTCCTGGGATGGATTTGGGCATTTTGGCCTTTTGGATTCTGAAATGTAAAGACATGGTAGTTTCCTGGGTGTCTCATTTTAGTTGGTAGTTTGTTCACCCGTCTTTTAAGAATAACAATAATGATAGATTTGGTACTTCAGATCCCACTGAGGTGTTATTGCTTCCAAATGCATCTGATTAAAATGCAGAATGTTCTCTGAAAGGAACAACAGTGTTCTGAATATTCCTGAACAAATGCCCTTAGAGCAGCTTCAATGCTTGAGAGTAGGACACCCCTCCTTTATTGCACCATTTTTGTTGCTTTTATTATTGCTTTATTATTCTACTGTAGAAGCACTTTTACTCGCTCAATTTGTGATCATTCATCTGTACAGTATTCTGTGCGAATGCAGAAGCACTGCAGGAACTGTTTTATAAAGAAGGACAACAGCTACACAAAAGGACTGCAGCCCCTAACGGCGACGTGGCGACACACCTTTGCAGTGTGCGTAGGGCATGGTGATGACGTATTCCTCATCGCGGGCGAGGAACACAAGCCTGGCCTTCCCATCCAGGATGGCAGATAAAGAGTTGCCTGGAGAAACAAAAGCAACAAGGTGTTACACCACGGCCTTCTCCTCTGCCATGAGGAGGGGAAGAAGAAGAGGCACACCGTACCATAGAACTTGGATTTCGCCAGGATGCTTCCGTTGATGCAGAACCCGTCTTTCTTGTTGCAGACGTAGAAGGCGGACACTGGGGGGTGATGGGAAACCTGGATGGAACATTAAAAAACGCTGCCTACTGTTTTGTGGAAAAATATAAAGTATTTTTACAGTTATGAGATAGGACAGAGAGAGGGTTGAAGGACAACCTGCACAACAAAAATTCTCAGGGGCAAATTATTTATCATAAAGCAAAGTACAATCAGCTAATCTTCTTTGGACTTCTTCGGAGGGTCCAGGGAAGTCAATTGGAAAATAAGCTGAGATGAACCTGGACTCAAAGCCGCACGACATGAGATGCCTGCTAGTTCTACTGCACTACACGCTGGGCATCACTGAAAGACACCTTCCACGACTCGCTGCTTTCTAATCTGTACTGGTTAGTTCCCACTACCGTTACCGTTACAGTCTTTCCTTCTGCAGGAAGCAGACCTGCTGCCCATCACCTCTGGGCTGGTGTGCCAGTAAAACTACTTCATTCACGATACCTCTTCCATATTATATATCATACATATTATATACTGTATGAACAGTCTCACAACATGAGAATTCAGAAGTATCTAGGGACTTAACTCAGCTTTTTGTTCATTCAGGGGGGCGTCTCACCTGTTCTGCAATATAGAAGGTGCAGCTGTTGGTCTGGGGGTGGAGCCAGCAGCAGCGGAATGTCTCCCCGAGAATGGGGTTGTACGGCTTCTTCAGTCCCTGTCGCGCACAGGGAGCAAAGACCTGTGAGAGCTGGCGGAGTCCCAGGGACTACAGGTGTGAAAGCTTTTAAAGATGTCATGTTTAAAAGAAAGGGTGGTCAAGCATTGCTGCCTTGCACCTCATGCCTCTTCCCCTCTTTACAATGAATGGAAGGCAAACCTGTCAAAGGGTTATACTGCATGAAACTCTGCAATTCGTAATAGGACCTTAGACTTAGCCTTAGAATAAGTCCACCAACAAAATGTTTGGCACTAAAGAGAAGGCGCATTCAAAACCAATAAATATTTATAAATCAATGAGTATATAGTAAATCAATACTATGAAACTACTGAAGTGGCTGTTAACCAACCCCTATCCATAAGCATAAGATTTGCTTAAAAGGCATTTACAAGGCATCGTTTTATTTCCAAGTAGGTAGCTGGGTTAGCTGCAAATGAACAAGTAAAGTTTATTCCATGCTGAAAAGAAAAGAAAGGAGAGACAATGTTTCAGCTGAGGAGCTTTCTTCTGGTGTGGTACCTTCAAGTGTTGACATCTGAAGAAGGCTCCACAGCCAAAACATTGTGTCTCTTTTCTTTTCTTTACAGCATGGAATAAACCTTTACTTGTTCCTTTTCATCAATTTATTTCCTCACAGAATACAAAATATTCTGCATTCTTTAATACTTTAATAGAAGAAATCTGATGTTAGGAAACCCAGTTAATGACACAACATAGTGAGGATATAATCTTGAAAACTGCAGGGATTCCAAGGTACATTTGGTTCTGGATCTTACCTTTGGCTTCTTATAAAAGCCAGACAGATACCACCGCAGGACCTGCTTCATCCTACAGTACGGGCTCTCTTCTGTGACAGCTCTGAGGGAAGGAGACATCAGGCCTGTTAATCTATCTGACTACCCGTAAGTAGTCAGATAGATTAACAGGCCTTAAAACTAAATGTGCGTCGCACCACCTGTAAGGTGTGATGCACGTTTCGTTTTTGAACGATGGACAAACCTGTTCAACTGGTTCAGTTAAATAATAATAATTATTTGGAGCCAGAATGAGAACATTGAGCACAAGCTTTCCAGGACATCTGGGAACCCTCACAGTGCCAAGAGGTTTTTATATCAACAGTGAAATGGAACGGCCCCGTCCCAGAGGTTACACACATTTGCAGATCTTCTGGCATGGGTCCGGGGCTGGGGGAGAGCAGGAGTGCTTACTGGGACAGGAAGTCGGCGTGGTAGTAGTAGTCGGACAGCTTGTCCAGGAAGGAGCGGGGCTCCAGAATGAATGTGGGCAGGACGACGCGGGACAGGTCCATCCCGGGGCGCAGCTGCTTCAGGAGGGTCCAGATCAGGCCCTTGTGCTCCTCCGAAACGGTCTCGGTCTGGGAGGCCTCCCCTGCCTGCACGAGAGAAGGGGCAGCGCAGTCTGTCAGCACAGCCTGGCAGAGCTCCACCTAATCCGGAGGACTGCAGGGTCCCCCGAGTCCCGGCCCACTTTATTTCACTGGGAGACTTTCGGAGTTGGCTTTTCTTTTCTAAACACAGCTTATAGTATATTGACAAAAAGGGCATGTATTAAATGTAACAAATGGGAAATAATAGTATTTGTGCATTTGTAATACCTCCCGGTATATTTTTGGGTCTGATATGTTAAAGTGAAAGTTAACAGGAAAGAACAGATAGATTTGACAATAAAATATTTCATCAAAGTCAAAACCACTAGTTTTATGGTAAATAATCACTACAGTTTTTTGTAAATATCTACTGCTACTAATATAGTACTACTATAATATCTAGTAATATAAAACTGCATAAACAAACATTGGCATAATCATTTTTCGGTTTACCTCTGCCATCTCCTCCTGGGGCTGTTCAACATAAGCAGTGGCCTGAAGGCCGGGGGACAGGTCTCCCAGCGTGTCTGACTGGTCTGTGTCACTCTCTTCCGTCAGCCTCTGCCCATTCTCATTAGCCCCGGTGTCTGACTCCTCGTGAGCCTCCCTCTCTGACTTGTCAGAATAGCCATCGTTTTCCATGTGGTGATTTTCCAGCATTGACTCATTCAACCTTTCAAAAGTAAAAGCAAACACATACGTGAAACACCATCTTGGTGCAGAAAGTACACAGGTTGTCGTCTGGCATTTCTAATCTGTGTCTGCACTTCAGCTTGCAATTTCCTCAATAATTCATTAGCATGAGCAAGGACGGCCTTTAGAGAACTTGTGTCCTGTCATGTCTCATCTGTCTTTCAGATGCTTTGGTAGATTCTCCAACTGTGGCCAGTGATGGTAGAAGAACAGGATTTTAACTCAGTTGGATCCTACCTGTCGAGAAAACTACCGCTTCAGGAGCTGATCTGCTCCAAATCCAGTACTTTTCTCTCCCTAAGTAACTTTACAA